CCTGTACTGTCGTGCTCATAAGCATCGAAACCCTACGCACTATAGCTGCATCACACGCTATCATCAGTAGATTCAGTCATTCAGAACTAACATTTAACCTAGCAACTAGCAAGTTCTAGGCCATAGCTAGCTAGCTACAAGCCTACAAGCCTACAAGCCTGCAAACCTAAGCTAGATATATATATAAAGCTTAGAAGTCAGCAGTTTAAGAAGCAGACATTCCTGGTTAGACTACAACTTAACTTTTCATCTCACTTTCCCGATATAGAAACCCTTCTGCTTTCCTCTCCATTTCTTCATCCATCACATGACTTCCATTATATATACAACCAACCCTCTTCCCATTTCTTTGATAAATCAACTAAAACAAGATCTGAAAATTACTAGAAAAAAGTAAGAAAATTGAGAGAGAGATTATGGGTCGTGGAAAGATTGAGATCAAGCTGATCGAAAACCAGACCAACAGGCAGGTGACCTACTCCAAGAGAAGAAATGGGATCTTCAAGAAGGCTCAGGAGCTCACCGTTCTCTGTGATGCCAAGGTCTCCCTCATCATGCTCTCCAACACTAGTAAAATGCACGAGTATATCAGCCCTACCACTACGTACGTCCTTCTCTCATCAAACCCTATTATTTTTTCATTAATTTCTCTATTTTTTTGTAATTAATTTCCTCCTTTTTTTGCAATTTCTGCTTAAAATTTGATGTAATAGGACCAAGAGGATGTACGACGACTATCAGAAAACTATGGGGGTCGATCTATGGAGGACACACTACGAGGTTAATTATAATGAAGGATGTACTCTCCACTAATTTTATTTGTTTATTTTTTTTCTTGGAAGTTTTTTAGTGTTTTTGTTTCCGGTTAATTAATTGGTTCTTTGGTGGTTGCAGTCGATGAAAGACACCTTGTGGAAGTTGAAAGAGATCAACAATAAGCTGAGGAGAGAGATCAGGTAACATCTATTAGTCAAGCTAATTAATTGGGAAAACCAAAAAAAAATCAATTTGTTTCTGAGAGGAATATATGTTATATATATGATTATTACAGGATTAGAGTAATACATGTATAAATTAATTTGTAAAATTAACAGGCAGAGGTTGGGCCATGATCTAAATGGTCTGAGCTATGACGATCTCCGTTCTCTTGAGGATAAGATGCAATCTTCCTTAGATGCCATACGTGAAAGAAAGGTCGGATTTTCGTTTCTAATTTAGTTTTAGTTTTTGGTATCAAAAAATAATTATAAAGTCCAAAAGTTGTTGCCTGGATATAGATCTGTAAAAATCATCTCATCTCAGGGTTTCAGAAATTTTATCCACATTAAGTCTTGATGAATTTCATAATAATAAACAAATTTTGTAGAATTTCAGAAAATATAGGATAACAATTTTTCATGACAAAAGACTCGTACAATTTGAGAAAATTTTCAAAGTACCCAAATATTAAATGGGTACTCTGCGAATTATAACGCAAGTGGAGAGACACGAAAAAATATATATAATTTTCTCCACTTGCATTATAACATGTGGATTACTGCTTAAACATCAAGCACTTGAAAAAATCTCTCGTAAAAATTGGAGGAGCCTTTTGAATTTTTACCTCTGATTATCCATGATGATAAAATGGGCTGTACTCGATTCCTTTTGATCATTGCTAATTAATTAAGTTGCTTTGGCCTTCTGCCACTTATTTATATTAGAAAACAAACCCAAGTTTAAACCCCTAGACTTTTAATCTCTGCATATAAGAAATCAAATTGAACCAAACATCATAGCTTCATACTGCATCTCAATTCTCACATTCCGAAGGCTTTCTCCCTATCCTTTTAGAAATGCAACACAAGAACTTCAGCTTCTTGAAGTTTGTCTGCGGTTATTGGTACTGATGATGGATTTGGCAATGAAATTTGTTGCATTTTTACAGTACCATGTGATCAAAACTCAGACGGAGACCACCAAGAAGAAGGTAATTATATCATTAGAAATTTGTACTGGATCATAAGTTAATATTTGTAATCTTCTAGTACTATTCTTGAAATTTAATTTAATTCCACCACTGCAGGTTAAGAACTTGGAGGAAAGAAGAGGAAACATGCTGCATGGCTATGTAAGCATATATATAATCAAGCATTCTAAAATCAATTCAATTTCCAATGAATTCCTTTAATTATTATCTTTTTTTATTGATATCTGATAACGTGTTTGTTAAATTTGGAGTTTGACCAGGAAGCTGCCAGTGAGAATCCACAATATTGTTATGTGGACAATGAGGAAGACTATGAATCTGCACTTGCGTTGGCAAATGGGGCAAATAACTTGTACACTTTCCAGCTCCACCGCAACTCCGACCAGCTCCACCACCCTAACCTCCACCACCACAGAGGAAGTTCGCTCGGCTCCTCCATCACTCATCTACATGATCTCCGCCTTGCTTGATCGTGATCCGAGAGACGATTAATCGCCACTAAGTTTTATACTACGGTCACTTATATATATATATATTCCTCAGAGACTTAACTGCTCATGTTCTAATGTGTTTTCTTAGTGATGATCTTTAGGCAAGGAGTTAGACTTGGACTTCCTCTAAAAATATATGCATAAATATATATGTGATGTTTTATTTAATGATAATACTAAGACAAGAATCTATGGCCTGAAAGTAATAATATTATGAACACTTCAGTGCCCTTCTTGCTTGTGGGTTTGTTTGTATAATACTTCTATTCTATATATATCATGGCTGACACTGTTTTGGTATTTTGGTTTGTTTATCTTGGATGTTTTATATTGGCTCTACATCTCTATTGGAATTTTATGAAAGATGTATGCGTAGAGGGATATTTTATGTCCTTAATTCTTTCTTTTTTTTTGTCATTTAAACCACTTTTGTGTCGATACTCATACAGTTTAATATGTTATGTTGGCCGTTTATCATCATCGAACTTTTAATGTTTAAATGATGATGATTTTTATCCACGGTAAACATATAAAGTTATTGTAAAAATATAGTTTGACACCCCAAAACATGTTTCAGTAGGAGCAATCCTCATATGATTTTCTTTCTTCCTTTTTGGGTTAATCAGTAATTGTCATGCATGACATTTAACTTCATCATATCCTCCAACAAACTAAAGATTAATGTGTCGCTAGATCAGAAGCTCACGTGACTTCATATGCTTTATTTAAAAAGAAAGAAGTGTTATAGGCCTATTTGACTGAACTGTATAAATGACAGAAAGGGAGAGGGGGTCGGCGGCAACAAAGAGAAAAGAGAAATATGTAATTCTGAGGTGTGTGTTATATCACCCCCTTATGCCTTTATTTATAGTAGTAGGATAGGTAGAATCCTTACCCTAATAGGATTACATATCTAATAGGAATTAAACTGCTAAAGGGAATATAGAAGATATTCCTAGATACACTAAGATTTACACAATCACATTCCTAATCCTATAGGACTGCAACACTCCCCATTGAGTGTGTAAATACTCAAACAAAACATCGCATTAGATCTTCAGCAGATAAGGTAAAACAGTTGATCAAGTCATTGGCACAACGGGTGAATGCGAGTCTCATATATAAGTAAGTAAGTACGTATTGGTAGTAAAACTCACAAAACCTCGCTATGGTAAAACTTAAGGTAGGGAAAAACCCATAGGCTAAGGAGAAAAGTGAGAAGTATGCATAATGTCTAAAATAAAAGTCAAACAAGACGAAAGTAGTGAACTCAATGGAGTATGATCATCCCAGGATGAGTGCCTCGTCAAAACCTCGTTAGGTAGCAAAAACCCATTGGGAAAAATGCTCCTAATTGTAGGAAAAAGAGTACATTAAGATCAAGTGAGTATGCTTCTGGACTAGTAGCATTTTTCTCACTGGGTTAGACATAACTTCCAAATTAGAGAACTACAAGCAATTCAACTAAACAAACAGAGATTACAAAAGAGTATTTAAACTCTCACAACCCAAATCCCACAAATTACAAACCCTAAACCAAACGAGTAGAGAACTCAAACAAACGGAGAAGATTCTCCCAAATTGATCTCTAACTCACAAACTCACAAATTGACTCTCACCAAATTGCCACATAAATGAACCACATGAAATACACTAACCCTAAGTTCCTATTTATAATGCATAGGACTTAGGTTACAATAAGAATCCTAATAGGAAGTAAATCCAAATCCTAATTGAATAGGTAACTAACAAAATCTCTCCACCAAGGAAACCAACTAAGAAGTCAAAATCCAAACCCAAATAGGACACCAAAACCAAATAGGTAACACAAACCTAATTTTTTGCATCATCCTAATTTTGAGCCGTAAAACCCAACAAGATCAACGACAGAAGTAAGACCACTAGTGCTTCAAATATGTTCCATAACTGCTCTCAACCAAAAACACTCTCACGAGGCTTCATGCAGGGCGAGAATCTTAGCATGGTTTGATGAAGTTGCAACTAGTGTTTGCTTAATAGACCTCCAAGATATAGCAGTGTCTCCAATGGTAAAGACATAGCCCATTTGAGAACGTTCCTTATGTGGATCAGACAGATAACCAGTATCTGCATAACCAACAAGGACGGAATCAACCTAAGGGTCGAGGAGGCCGACGTTTCCTCCTATGAATTCATGGGTGTAGAATAAGCCTAAATTCGTCATACCCTTAAGGTAACAAAAAATGTCTTTAACACCATTCCAGTGTCTGCATGTAGGGGCGTTGATGTATCTAGCCAAAAGATTAACAGCGAAGGCAATGTCGGGTTTAGTGCATTGAGCTAAGTACAATAAAGCACCAATTGCACTTAAGTATGGAAATCTCTTCCTCATCCTCCTTGGGACGGAAAGGATTTTGTTTAGCATCTACAGTCCGAACGACCATAGGAGTACTCGAAGGCTTTGCTTTATCCTCATTAAAATGTTGCAACACCTTTTAGGTGTAGTTCGATTGATGTAGGATTCTATCCGAACAATGCTCGATCTCCAGGTCGAGACAATATCAAGTTTTCCCAAGTTCCTTCATCTCAAATTCCAATTTCAAGTGCACGGCAATTTCTTCAAGCTTTGCGAGAATTCCGATGAGGTTCATGTCGTCGACATAAACTACAACGATCGCAAATCTGAAATGTGACTTATTTATGAACACGCATGGGCATAGTTCGTTGTTCACATAACCCTAAGTTGTCAAATATTGACTTAAATGGTTATACCACATCCGCCTAGATTGTTTCAATCCATAGAGTGATATTCTCAATCAAATAGAGAGAATGTTCCGTGATCTAGAACTATTTGAACTAGTCAATGGATGTCCTTCTGTAACTTTCATGTACATTTCTGTATCTAGATCCTCATAGAGATACGCAGTTACCACGTCAATAAGCTGCATATTCAGTTTTTCAGAAACTACCAAACTAATAAAGCAGTGGAACGTTATGACATTCATTACAGGGGAATACGTATCCTCGTAATCAATCCTAGGGCATTGAGAGAAGCTTTGCACTACAAGGCATGCTTTGTATCGCACTATTTCATTCTTCTCATTACGTTTTCTCACGAAAACCCACTTGTAACCCACGGGCTTCACATGTGGTGGAGTATGAGCTCATTACTACAAAAGAGGCTATCACTGGCGGTGTAAAAATCGACAAGAAACCCTAATTACTGTTGGATTTTTGGTAAAAATCCGACATCAAATCATGCAATGTCGGATAGGGAAACTGACATCTTTGCTAGCATCACAAAAGGGTATTAATGCCGGTTAGTCCCCTTAATCCGCCACCAAGTAGCGTCGGTAAAAAGTGTCATCAAGGTTCACGTCAATTACAAATGACATTAAGTACTGACAAAGCCTAGCAGATGAAACATAATGGTGTCAGTCCTAACCGACACCACCTAACCATTGAAAAATATAATAACTAATATAATGTCGCCCATAAACGACACCACAAACTATTAATAATAAAAATAAAAAAATAAATATGTCTCAGTTATTAATAATAATTACCAAAAGTTAAAAATATATATAAACGGAATATGTTTAGATTTGAGAAATATGGATCGGGAAATCACCTCGATGACAAGGTATTCAAAGACCACGGTGAGGTAAATGGGAATGCCAGTACTGGTACGTTGGGCGTAGCGTCCCTTTTCAAGGAAACAAGCAATACGGCCGATGAGGAATTGGAGGCCAGTTTTAACTAACTTGGACACCAACTTCCTCCTCTCTCCGCCTCTTTTTCTGTCGACGCCCTTGGTGGCTTTCATGGCTTCCATTCTCTCTGAGTTTTTGGGGAAATGAAAACAATTTGTTTAAGAGGGAAAACCAATTGTTATTCCCTCAAAATTCAAAAAGTCACTTTTGTTTCCCTACATTTTTCAATCTAAGCACAGAAATCTCCAAACAACACAAATTTTCCCATTGATTTCACATCCAAAACACATCGAAATGAACAAAACCCACATTCATTTTTTCAACCACGGTGTGGGTTCTAAGATTACATGCAAGCTCGAAACCAAGCTAGAAAACGGAAATTGAAATGAGAAGGAGTAGTATGGAGGCTTACCAAATCAAGAGCTCGATAACTAGTTGGGGTACGCAATGAACAGTGGTGGAACCCATTATGCAGAACTAAGCTTGACTTAGTGTCCTTAGCAGATCTAGAAGCTCTGTGTATGGAAACGGAGAAGTATGTTAGTGGGATAGAGGGAGATGTGCAATGAAAAAATGGAGAAAGGGATAAAACCTGGCTAGTTTTGATTTGTAGGCTAAAGGGAGATCTTTTCAATGTTTTTCTTTGTGGATTTTCAGAAGAAAAGAAGATGGAGGGATGGGAATTGAAGAAGTCGAGGAAAAAAAAGAGAGAATAGAAAAGAGAGAGAATGATGAAGGAAGGTTGAGTGGGTGGGTACATAGAGAAGCGTAAGGGAGATAGAAAAGAGAGGGGGTGAAAAAGAACCGGTTAGAAAAAAAAAAACAAGAAAAGAAAGGAAGTGAGAGAAATGAGGCGTGTGTGTCAGAGAGAGAAAGAAACTCATGTGAAGGAATTGGCCAAAAAAAATGAAAGCAAAAATGATGTGATGTGTGTGTAAGAGAGAGAGAGTCACATGAAGTAATGGGAGGAGAAGGATAATGTATTAAAAAGGGGGTTTGATAGATGTTGACAAAAGTGGGTTTTAAACCCAAATAAAACATTCAAATCCCCAAGGCAATTATTAGTGTTGGCTACAACCGACATCGGGTTTTACAATATTTAAAAATAATTATTAATGTCGGGTAGAAGCGACACGATTCTTTTTTTAACTGACACTAACTTTATGTCGGTTGAAAGCAACACGGTTTTCTTTTTATACGACACTGCCATTTAAAAAGATTAAAAGCTATGTCAGTTATAAGCGACATTAACAGTCTATGTCAGTTATAAAGGACATAGATATTTTATGTCGGTTATACCTGATAGTAATTTCGACACCATGTAAAGAAAGTGTCGGAAATGTCATATTCGCCAGTATATTATATAAAACTGACACCAACTAGCGACACAATAAGCCACTTTTGTAGTAGTGGCTACAAGCCCAAATACCTTTTGTTTCGCGAGCGAATTGAATTTGACCTGGGTTGCTTGTTTCCAATTTGACCAATCTATTCTACGTTGACATTCATCAACGGAAGGTGGTTCAATGTCATCCCTAAGCATGATGTCAGGAGCAACAGTCTACGTGAATGCATCATCGACAATCATTTCATTCCAATTCAAACTTCATCCAATACTGCGTAATGGACCAAAATCTTGCGATTCTCGGAAGGCTGGTATGTTTTATCTAAAACATCATCGTAATCTAGAATAACTTCATACGTTGGAATAGATGAGTAAGCAATGGTCGAATTCAGACTAAGGTCACTAGTTTGTGCCGTTTTCCTCTTCGGGGATTGTGAATCCTTTGAACCAAGGGGTCTGCCACACTTTAGGGTAAGAGCAGGTGATTGGCTAGCCGCCATTGTACCTTGTCGTTTGGGAGATGCAACTGCCCCACCCTTAGGGACGGTCCGACCTTCCACAGTGGTGTTACGGGGTACATTAAGTATGTACATCCTTGCAGGTGCATTTGTAGTGGATATGTGATATCGTCACCTTTGCTAGAGCAGTAAAAGCATCCAGCATACTTTGACCGACGCTCTGAAGATCTAGAATGAGTCGCACTTCAGTTTCAAACTAAGGGGTGTGGGGATCTAAATGAGACATAGTGGGAGTAATCCACGACAAGTTGCGGTGTTCTACATAAACGTTAGTGATATTATCTCCCCCTAACGACGGGAAGACTGTCTCATCAAAGTGACAATCCACAAAATGTGCGGTAAAAAGATCTTTTGTCAAGGGCTCTAATTAGCGAATAATTGATGGCGAATCATAACCGACATAGATTCCTATTTTTCTCTGAGGACCCACTTTGGTACGTAGTGGTGGCGCTATTAGCACATAGACAACGCACCCAAACACACGTAAATGCGAGACGTCAAGCTAGTGTCTAGTAACCAATTGCAACGGTGAATGAGGTTAGGTAGCAAGGCCTCAGGCGGACCAACATAAATGTGTGCAATATTGCATGGCCTCAAACAAATACTAGCAAATTGGTTTGCATAACCAAAGTCTGAGCTATTGTTTGAAGACACTTTATGAAAGCTTCTGCTAGGCCGTTTTGGGTGTGAACATGGGGTACATGATTTTCAATTTCAATCCCAACAGACATGCAATAATTGTCAAAGGTCTGTAATGTAAACTCTCCAGCACTATCCAGTCGAATTGACTTAATCGGATAATTAGGGTGGTGAGCCCTAAGCTTAACAATTTGGGCTAGAAGTTTCACAAATGCAACTTTGCATGTGGACAATAAGCAGACATGTGACCATCGCGTCGATGCATTAACCAACACCATGAAGTATCTAAATGGTCCGCATGTTGGTTGGATAGGTTCACAAATATCCCCTTGAATCCTCTGAAGAAACTTAGGGGGGTCGTGAATAATCTTTATAATTGAGGGTTGAATGTTCAACTTCCCCAGGTAGCATGCTTTGCAAAGTGGATGGCCGGGATAAGATTTCAAGTGATGCCCATGAGATACTTTGAAGATACGACGCATCATATCTCGTCCAGGATGTCCCATTCGATCATGCCAAAGCAGGAAAGTGTCTTGGAACCTAGCCATAAGGCCAGCCACGTGGTGTGTCTCGATGGCTCAAATGGTTGTTATATACAACCCACTCGGGAGACATTCCAGCTTCTCGTGAATACGTTTCCGGCCATATTCATAAGAAGTGATACAAAGAATTTTAGAACCATTCTCTTCAGTGGTTTCAACATAATATTGATTATCTCAAATATCTCTAAAACTCAGCAACGTTCGTCCTGAACGTGGAGAATAGAGTGCCTCTTTAATGGTTAATTCAATACCATTAGACAACATTATACGGGTCTTTCTGTATCCTTCTATTAGGTTGGATGGGCCTGAGAAGGTTGTCAGAGGTGCATTCTTAGGTACGAAGTTAGTACAATAGTGTTTCTCACGCAATATGGTGCGCGCAATTGCATTATCAGCTAGACAACTAACTTCCCAACTAGCCATACCTAGAAATAAATTAATTGAAACAGTCACATGCAAAAATATAATTCCATTCATTCAATTAATCAATTCGAGAAATAAAGTCCATAAAAATAATTATCCAACGTTCAAAACAAACCAAACAAACCAAACCAAACAAATAATTCCAAATACTTAGAAAAAATTGTTCAAAAATTAAAACCATAAGCCTAAAAAAATAGGGGAGGAGTTCGGCCACTAGGGGTAAAACACCCTAAAACATGTCTAAAATTTATTTGTCCATAGGAGCGGATGCCTCCTAAAAATCTGAAACCTCCTTGGATGTAGTAGCATCATCGGAAAGTTCTACATGCACAAAGTTAGTCTCACGACGAGAATGATACTTGGCAACGGCCTCAGAGGTACCTTGACATATGCATGACCAATGATCTTTTGATCCACAGCGGTAGCACATGTCCATTTCAGTGGAATCTGAATGAACAGTAGTTTTTCCCTTGTTCTTAAAGCTTCGGGCCTTCGAGGCAAGATGTTGGCGCTTCTGGGTCAAGTTTCCTCTCTTAGGTGGGCCTCTGTTTAGTGGACCTTGGGCCCGTGGTAGGCCTTGCCGCCTTTTTCCACATTCACGACATGGTTTTCGTCGATTGTGGCTACTAGAATTTGTCGCACGCACTTCAAGCGCAGCGTTCAAGCCAGTAGGTCGAGCTTAATGATTTTTCATCAAAAGCTGGTTTTGCTTCTCAATGAACTTCTATGCCCTATATTGTTGCTGCAGGACAATATTGGTGGCATTAAAGGTTGAATAGGTTTTCTCTAATGGATCCTGTTCGGTTAAGTCCTCTTTACAAAACTTAAGCAATGATCGGATTCTAGAAACTTTAGAGTTATATTCATTCATAGACTTAAAGTCTTGGAAGTGTAAATGCTACCAGTCGTGTCTTGCTTCAGACAAGTAAATGTCTTTCTGGTGATCGAAATGATCCGCCAGAGCAAGCCAGAGGGAACGTGGATCCTCTTCTGTGAGGTACTTAGTCTGCAGTGCATCATGGATGTGTCTTCGGATGATGATCATTGCAGTAACATTCTTAGCTTTGTCGAGGGGTTCATCGTCAATTGGTTCCTCAATAATAGCTCTAAGACTCTTTGCAGTAAGATGGAGCTTCACTTCTTGGACCCACTTCATGTAGTTTCTTCCAGAAACTTCCAGAGCAGTGAAATCGAGCTTGTTCAAGTTCGACATGTCCTTAAACAAAGGGTACAACAAAACATGGTTAGTCATATGGAAAGCCATAGACATATATCGTAGAACATTCGGGTTCTATTGAGATGTAATGGTTTAATTTATGCATGAAAACTACAGGTTTCATGTGGTAAGTTTGGAATGAAAACTTCGGGTATCAAAGGCACTAAATTAGAAACTACAAGCTCGATTTAGTTATGAACATTTAGTTCATATATAGGGGTACCTACAAGAACACATAATACAATATACAATAAAGTGTAGTGGATTTGTGGATTGCTTCAGGAACCCAATTGTGAGTGCTTGGGGACTACGAAAGATAGTCAACGGTTCAAAGAAACGAAATAATTTATTGAATCGTTAATGCCAAAAATGCACTTCAAGCCAATAATTTTGGATTAATTGTCAGATTAATGGATTATTGGTCACTTTAATTAATTCA